ATTATATTATTTTATAATAAAAATTTATAGTGGAGGTAGGTTTTATTTTTTTTTAATTTTTTAAATAATAAAATAGATAAATTCTAGTTTAATTAAATAAATATTATAATTAATAATTAATAATATAATAAAAATTTTTATTTTTATTGAAGTATTATTTTATAATTTTAAAATAATTTATAAAGTTTTTTTATTAAATTTTAATTATATAATATAAAATTAAAATTATATAAAATATATATAATTATATTATAATTTAAAAAAATATTTTTTAATATTAAAAAGTTTATCTATATTATTTAAAGTTTTTATTTGAGATATTTTTATATATAAACTTTAAAGTTAAATTTTAAATTTAATAATTTATTTTTTATTTCTATAAAATATAAAAGTTTAAATTAATTATATATATAATATAATAAAATATTTTAAAAATACTTTTTACTTTTAATTAAATCTTTATATCTAATAGTTATATTATATATTTATTAAAATTTAAAGTAATTAAATAATAGAAAATACTAAAATAAATATAGTATATAATAAATATAATTTAACTATAATAAAATTAAAAATAAAGATATTTTATAAAATATAAAAATAAATAAATAATATTAAATTTTATAAAAATTTTAAAACTTTAAATTTAATAATTTATTTTAATTTATAATCAAGAATAATTAAAAATGAAGTAAGAAGCAATAACTATCAACATATGTTTATTATAAATAAGCATGAAAAAGTGGAATGCATGAACATCTAGAAGAAAATTCAATCAGCAGAAGATTTACTGACAGCAAAAGACCCAGCAGCTCATTACATATATTACATCATCGGTCAAATATATGATGAGTTCATCTTTACTATCTGAATTCTCTGCTCTGCAATCATGAACAATGGCAGCAACTGCAGCGATCTTGAACATAGAAGAACAACATGTTCGAGTTCTAGTCTAATGCATTTTTTAATAATAATTATTTTCAATGATGGTAGGTGCATTTAATCTGCATATCCAACTTGAATGTTGTTGATACGTTTGGGATAGTTAGTTACATTGAGAGAGCGCTGATTACCTCACTACCCGTGTTAGTTTAGTCAACCACTTGATGGAGTAGCTGCGACACTAGCTGTTTTCGGTATGGTGCGGGAACCCACCCTCGGGCCGGGGGTCGCGGGTTTCAGCGCGCTGATTGGCCAGCTCTTCCCAGGAACAAGCAGCTGGCTTGACAAGAAGGCCCCAGGGCCAATCACGGGACCCGCCGCCGAAGCTTAACTGGAACCTTCCTGGGAATGTTGAAACAGCGCTGCTCGAGTTTATTACTCAGTGCCATAATATATCATGGAATCATGGCAGAAGTGGCAGAAGAGTTGGTTTTCACGGGAGGCAGGCCGGTTGTTGTCGAATCGGTTCAACTGCGCTTGACATTTTCCTGATTGGTATTCCTGCTTCTAGTTCGTTCGCCCTTGTTGCAAGCGTCATATGCCCGAAGAGTGTGGGGGGAATTTCCCGTGTTTGACTTGTTGCTGGGGAGCAGCGCGCTATATAATAAAACCCAGAGCTGCAATGAAGCCGCCCGGGAATATTCGGGTAGGTCTGCCTCTCGGGGCAAAATTTAAAGCGACCGCAACTTTGTGGGGGGGAGGAGTAGTATGAAACTCAGCATGAATGGAAGCCATCATCAGTCAATCACACCAGGAACGATTAAGAAAAAAAAGGTTGGAGAAGGGGGGGGCGTTGGATTGTGGTTACCATAGCCAGCACATCTAAAGGGATAATTATATATTATGTCTAATGGATTCCGCCGGATCCCGAGGACTTGATTTACCTAAAAATTCGGTGGATCTGAACTTGAGCTTCTCGAAGGGGACTGGAAAAAAACCGTTTCAGGTTTTGAAGCCTTGCCTAGTCAGGTAGGGAAATAGCCACAAACTCTGGCGGGCTGGCTCCCAAGGTAATGTAGTCTTCGAAGGGGGACAATAAACATGATAAATGGAGCAGATGGAAGCTCTTTAACTCCCGTTGAGGATTAATGACCATGGTTTTGGGGGGGGGA